CTTCCCCTCCTCGGGTTTGAATAACTTTTGTTTGGTTTGTAGGGTTTCTGGCGGGGAGGCCGGGGAGGGGGTGGGGAGGCGTTCGGATTTGGCACTGGCCTCCCAACGCGCATTTGAAAGCGGCTTTGCGAGGAGGAGCCAGAGGGATCCCTGGGAGCCCGACGCCTGCTTCCACCACCTTCCACCACCGCTTCCCTTTGGGGGGGGCAGGGAAGGCGGGGAGCAACGCTCCCCTGGCCCCCAACACAGACCCTGCTGCTTCATCTTCCTTTACCCATTCCATGCTGGTGGGATTTGGTCTACCGGTTCCCAAAAAGCTTCTCTGATGGGTGCCCCCGCGCCCCATCGCTGTGGGGTTGGGGGTGAAAGAGGGGGGGTGAAGCCGGGTCGGGGCTCGTGAAGCCTCGTGCCAGGCTGAGCTCCTGGAGACCAAATTAGCGCCTGCGTACGCCAGGCCAGGCCTGCTCGGGTTTCATGCCGTGCTCGGCTCCCAGCAGCCGGTTTCACCGCCACCATCACGGCCCGAGCATTTCGGGGTCACTCAGGCAGGTGGGGAACAGGTTTCCCCCTTCCAAAAGTAGCAGGAGATCGGGGCAGGCTGCCCTCCCCGAGCTCGGGGAGGATGCTGGGTTGAACTGGGGGATTTTGGGGTGTAGAAGGGGCCGAGCTCCCCAGTCCTCTGTCTGGTGATGAATCCTGTTGCGGGCTGGGGTGAAGCAGGCAGGGTTTGCCCGTGACTAATCAGGTGCTGTGATGAAACGTTACCCGGCCGTGCGTGGCGTTTGCTGGGATGTTTGTTTCCAACCAGGTGTGGCTGGAGCAGAAGGAAAGGGCGAGGGAAGAAATGGAGGGGGGAGAGCCGGAGGCACCACAGGGAGATGGGGGTTATTCCCCTGGCCCATGCTCTGGGGACAGCCGTCGCGGTCCCCCCAGGGAGATGGCGCCTGGCACCATCCCCCAACACCGGCAGCTCGGCCTTCCCCCTCAGTGGAAACGTCTCCTCATGAGGGGCAGCACCAAACGGGGGAAACTGAGGCACGAAAGCAGGGAGATGAGTTGCCAGCGCCCAGAGCGGGCGCCCTGCCTTCGCGTACACAAAGCTGTCCTCTTTCCCTCACCCCGTCTCCCTGGGGTCCCCGGCACCCGGGCCCTCACCGTCACCTGCCCATCGGCACTTCCATCCTGCCACAGCCCTTCTTCCTTACAGCCCACTGGGACAGTGTGGGAGCGTGGCAGGGGCCGGTGCACCAGCCCAGGGCTTGGCACCCGTGCTGGGAGTCCTAGCACTGCTGGCATCCCCCTCCCTGAGCATCTCCTGTTCCCATCACTGGGCATTTGGTGGGGGCTGATGGGAGGTGGAGGGCTCCTTGCTGCTGGGCTGGATCTGGCCGGTTGTACGCTTTGCCACCATTTGGAGAAGAAACTGAGTGCTTTGCTGCTGGTGGCAGGAGAGCCAGGGCTGCCCGGTGCTGGGAGAAGCCCACCACCACAGGGCTCTGCCCCACTGTCACACCACGGAGGCCAGGCAAGCTTGATGCCCAGCCTGGGTGCTGGCATGGGGCTGCAACGATGTACCCTGGGGCTGGGGACGGCCCTGGGTGGGTGCATGGCTCCGGCTGCAAGGTTCGGGGATGCCCCAGGCCCCCAGCCCGGCTACGTGTGCCCTCAGGCGTGCTTTTTCAGCTGTGTGTGACCCATGTGAATTAATTCCATTAATTCCCCCTTCCTGACAGACAGCTCCTGATTGCCCACCTTCTTCCAGCAGTGGGGAAACTGAGGCAGGGGGTGGGTTGCTCCCAGTACCCTGGTGCTGTCGGGGTCCCCCGGGGCTGACACAGGATGGGCTGCTCCCAGCCTTGCTCCGCTCGCGTTTTGAGGACCGGTTGCAAAGGTCAAGTGCAGAGGCTGGGGGCAGAGTCCACACCAGGGTACGTGCCCGTCCCTCCCCTGCCACGCTCCAGAGCTTTCCCTCCCAGGGGGCCTGTCCCAACCTCTTGTTTTTGGACCCCTGTGGTCCGCAGGTCCCCAGGCAAGGACAGGCTGGTGACACCAGTGCCATTTGCAGGAGCTGGCGGGGGAACGGCAATGGGCACACATGTACTTTAACCCAGCACTGCAGGCCTTTAACCGCACCCCACCCACCCCCCCCGCCACTTGCCACCTTTCCAGCAAGCGATGGGGATGGACAAACAGACATCGGGCAAACAGATGGCAGTGCCTTGAGCCCCAAATGACCATCACAGGGCAGTTGGGCAGCCGGGTGGGCTGCAAGCACCTCGTCTTGTGTGGGGGGTGCGGGATCTGCTGGGGGGTGAGGGGTTTCCAAACAGCCCAAGCCCTCCAGCGAGAGTAAAGCCCTCATGGCTGCGCTCGCTCCCGGGGATGGATGGGGATGGCGTGCTTTGGGCAGCGTGAGCCCCCCCGGAGGTTTCGGGAGGGTTCCCATCTCAGACGCCTGCCTGCGCTATCGGAATTGGCATCCCCCTCAGGGTATATCGCCTGCTTCCCCCTGCCTCACCCTTGCCCTGCCTTCCCCGCCTGCCCCTGCAGATAGTGATGCCGCATCCTTTTTGCCAGGGGCGGAGGTTTGGGTGGAGAAGGGGTAGATAAGGGGCTGTTGCTCCTGGGATGGGCTGGGCAGCAGATCCTGGCTGCCGTGTGGGTCGGCCATGGGGAGGTGTGAGCTTTCCCCAGCACTGGGCCCACCACCGCCTGTCCTTTGGCCATGCCGTGACCTTGGCCAAGGACGGTTCCTGGCGTGCGCGTGGGGACGGGCAGCAGTGGGCTCAGGGACCATGGTGCCGTGGGGCAGCCGTCCCTGTCCCTACTGCCCTTGATGCCACGTGTGCCGCCTTTCCTCGGGGAAGGAGATTTTAAAACTAGCTGGGGGAATGGCACAGCTGGGGGGGGCTCCACCAGGGTCCCAGCACTGTGAGGGGCTCAGGGGGCCATGTCCTCACCCTGGGGGCTCTGGGACTGGCAGGGCCTTTGCTGCATCATCCTGGGAGCGACCTGCAGAAACATGGCTTGCAGAGAAGCATCCCCATGGCAGGGCCGGGCTGGCTGGCCACCCCTCTGACTCATATTTTCTTCTCCACCCCGTCCGTGCCACGCGGGGACAGAGCCGCTGCTCCCAGCTGCCACCATGGTGGTGGCTCGGGTGGGCGAGTGCTGGGGGCTGCAGGCAGGCAGGTGTCCTGCTGGGGCATGGTGGCTGGTGCTAGACTGACCATTGCCCCACTGGGGGCTGTCCCCACTTGCCCTATCTCTGCTCCTGAAATGCCTCCGTGCAGCTGGGGGTGCCAGACAGGGGGAGCAGGGGGATTCGGGGCAGGACAGCAGTGCCGGGAGCCCTGAGGTGCTGGGTGGGAGGCATGTCACCGATCCTGAAATGCACCCTGGATGTGGGAAGATGGATGCAGGAGTACAGCCTGGGTGCCCCAAACCACATTTGGGCAGCGGGGATGGTACGGAGGTGCATCCTACCCTGGTCCAGCTCTTCGGGAGCGGGGACTGTGCATGGGCCACCACACCGACTGCCCACCATGTCCCAGTGTCTGCATGGAGCCCCTTGCTGCCATCCCATCCCACCCAGCTGCCCTTGGGGCTGTGCCGGCATTGACACCCAGCACAATGGCACGTGTTAGTTCTTGGATGTCAGGGAATGAAGCTGCATGGTATACTCAGCTCTGGGAATGAAACCGGGAGAAACCCTTGGCCAGGTCAGCCATTGAGCATCACATTTGAGATGGATCGGTGACATGTTGGGAGGAAGGAGGGAAAAAACCTCTGGTGGCAGCCCGGCACCATGCTGGCCTGGCTGGCTGGGGAAACTGAGGCTCAGCGAGCTGGGGGGGTGACAGTGACTTAGCAAAGGTCGTGCCGTGAGTCAGCAGCGTGCTGGGAGCGGGACCCAGCACCCCGGCTGCCGGCGCTGGCACCTTCCTGCCTGGTGACGTGCTGGTGCCTGCCCCGAGACCCCCGCCTGCATCCTCCTTCAGCTCCTTCCACCTCCCTTTGAGGCTTTCTCGGGGAATTTATGGCTGCGCTCCTTGAGCTGGCTGGGGGGGGGGGGGGGTGGGGGGGGTATTTTTAGACGCTATAAAAAGCAGCCGGAGTCGCTTTCGCTCTATTCCTGCTTGGCGCCTCGGGAATATTCATGCTCAGTGAAACGGCACCTGCCGGCAGGGTCGGCACCATTGCTTGTGGACCCCCATGGTCCTCGCCATGCTGTCCCCATGGCCGGTGACCCTGTTTCAGCTGCAGGGGTCCCAGCAGCAGGATGGCATCACTGGGCATCCCGACACCTCCAGGCTTTCTCCTCCCCACACCCTGACCCAGGGCTGGAGGCAATGCCTCTGGTTTCACTGGTGCCACCGGCCTGCCTCTCGTGCGAATTTGCTGAGCTAAATATGTCTGAGCCAGTCTAGACAAGAGCTTACGGTGACCGCTCCTCGGCTGTCCCCATGGGATGGGAGAAGGGGAGCCCCCGCTGACCCGGCACCGGTGGGCACAGCCACTTGTTTTATTAACTGCTGTTCTTGCCCATGGTGTCGCCGGCTGGTGGGTGAATTCCCGAGGAATAATGTTTTCCTCCCTCCCTGGGCTGTGTCGATTGGTCAGTTGGATGTGGCATGCAGGACACCCATGTCCCAGCTGGTGGTTAACGTCCCGGTGTTGAGGGGAGCCAGGGCTCTGCCCTCCCAAATTCTCACCCCATCCTTTGTGTCACACAGATTGATGAGATGCCAGAAGCTGCAGTAAAATCTTCCTCCAATAAATACCAAGTCTTCTTCTTTGGGACCCATGAAACGTGAGTGTGGCCCTGGCACATGCGGGAGATGGGGCCAAGGGGGGCACTGACGGATCGACCCCTCTGTGGGGCAGTGCTGCTGACAGCCCCGGGGGGTTTCAGGGTGAGGTGAGAAACCCCCCCCCCCGCTGCCATCCCTCACTGCTTCCTCCCCTTCCCCGAGCAGGGCATTCCTGGGGCCCAAAGATCTCTTCCCCTATGAGGAATGCAAGGAGAAGTTCGGGAAACCCAACAAACGGAAAGGGTTCAGCGAAGGTTTGTGGGAGATCGAGAACAACCCCACCGTCAAAGCCTCCGGCTACCAGGTGGGTCATGAGCCAGGGGGGTCCCGGCACCTCGTGTGCCCCTCCGACTGCCTCCTTCTCCCTCCCATTCCCCCCCTGTGAGTCCCCCATGTCCTCTCCAGCCTACCCAGAAGAAGACCTGCCCCGAGGATGCTGAGCCGGAACGGGAGCCAGAGGGTGACGGGGAGAAGAAGGGCAACACAGAGGGCAGCAGCGATGAGGAGGGGAAGCTGGTGATCGACGAGCAGTCCAAGGAGAAGAACGAGAAAGCCGGGATCAAGAGGAAAGCAGAAGATGCTTTGGAGGTAGGGGGACGCTGGGGACGTGGGCAAGGGGGGTCCAGGGCAGGGCTGAGCTGAGCTCCTCCCACCCAGGACTCCCCCAAACACACTAAGGAGGCAGAGGGGCAGGAAGGGGAGAAGAAGGTAGACAACGAAGAGGCCCCCAAAGAGGAGCCGAAACCCAACCTGGCTGAAGGGGAGAAGGAGAAGAACAGTGACGCCGCCAGTGCGCTGGACGCCAATGAAGCCAAGCAGGAGGGCAAGGAGAAGGCAGGCGCAGAGGAGGTCAGAGACCACAAGGAGAGGTGAGGGTGGTATGGTGACCCCCATCCCCAAAAGCTGGGCTCCTCCCTGCCCACCCTGGGCACGGGGGAATGTCCCTAGCGGCATGGTAGAGGGGGGGGTCCCGGTGCCGCAGGGTCTGTGACCAAGCGCCCGGGTCTTCTCTTGGCTCTCACAGCCTGTAGCGGCCTCCCTGGCAAGCTGATCTTCCTGCCTGTCCCTTCCCCGCTGGGCTCCCTGGGCGCTGCCCTATCTCGCCCTCGTCGCGTCCGCAGCTTTGGACAAGAGAAACAAAACCCAAAATGAAATTTTAAAAAAAAAAAAAAAAAAAAAAAAAAGAGAGAGAGAAAGAAAGAAATGAAGAGAAACCCAGTAACACGAACCCCTGAACCGACCCGCATCTCCTGGCCCTGCCGTCACGGGGCGCATGCTTTGTATTAGTGATTTCTAGGGGGCTGATCAGTTGATTTGAAATAAAAGCGATTCATGCCTTTTTAAAGCGTTTCCACCCACGTCTCTGTGCCCCGGGGTCGGCCCCTTCTCACTGTGCTGGTGATTTTGGGCTGCCCTAACCTCACAGCATGGGGGCTGTTGCCAGAGGAGAGGGGCTCCAGCATCCCCTGGCAGCTTCAGTTTGTTTTCTCAGTGCTGGAGGGGAACCAGAAGGAAATGCAGAAAGGGATGGGAGCAAATAGGGATCTGGGGGTGAGAACTGTTGAAAGAGGGAAAGGAAAGAGGTGAGGGGGAAGATTTTTGGAGCGGAGACGTTTAATAAAATAGAAAAATACAATTCTGCCAGAAAGCAACAGCGAGAGGCTGGGATGAGGGGTCGTTTCAGCTGGGGCTTTGCTGTTCCCTGGCATGTTATGGAGCTCTGCCTCCATTGCATCCCTGTGGCAGGCCGGGCTCGGGGAGGCGGGGGGGGGGGACGACACGGGACGACACAACCGCCCCCCAGGATCAGCCCCGGGGTCAGACGGCAGCTCTCGTAATAGAAAATGGAGGCCTGGCCGGGTGCCAGCACCGCCGCAGGACTACAGCTCCCAGCTGCGCCGGGCAGGGCGGCCGCCGCGACCGAGGGGTCGGTCACGGGGAGCCCCCCAGGCCCCGGGGAGCGCCCAAGCCTCGGGGAGCACGACAGCCCAACCCCCCTCCCGCCCCCGACTGGTGACACTGGGGAGGGGGCAGGACTACAACTCCCGGCGTGCCCCGCGGCTCCCGGCGAGCCCCGCGGCAGGCCGCGCCGCACGTCCCCGTCCCCCCGCGTCCCCTCGTTAACCCGGCCCACGGCCGCTCCCAGGATGCACCGCTCCGGAGGGGAGGGACGGGGGGGCCCGAGAACTACAGCTCCCAGCATGCCCTGCGGCGCCGCACGGCGAGACTACGCGTCCCGGCGCGCACCGCGTCACAGCCCCGCCCATCGAGAGGCGCGAGAGAGGCCGGGGGAGGTGGAGGTGAGCGGGGGGGGCCTCTGCGGGAGAGGGCCCACCCGAGGCTTATCACCCTGGGGAGCACAAGGGGGGACTCCCGGGGGGCGCAGGGCCCCCCTCACCCGTGTGTCCCGTCCCCCTCCAGCCCCTGCGCCGCCATGCGCCTCTCGGCCCTGCTGTGCGCGGGGCGGCTGCGGCTGCCCCCCGGTTACCGGCACGGCACGTGGCGCCCCGACACCGCCGCCGCCCAGCGCCGCAACCCCCCCGGGCTGCGACGCCGCAAGGTCTTCGTGGAGCCCATTGCCAAGGAGGACTGGAAGGTGTTTCGGGGCGATACGGTGAGTGTCCCCCCTCCCCAGGCCCCCCCAAGGACAGGGGCTGGGCTGGGGGGGCCTCCCCTTGACCCCCCTCCCTCCGCCACAGGTCCAGGTCCTCGCCGGGAAGGACGCGGGGAAGCAGGCGATGGTCACCCAGGTCGTGCGAGCCCGTAACTGGGTGGTGGTGGAGGGGCTGAACACGGTGAGGCTGGAGCCGGCGGGGGGGCTGCCGGCGTGGTGATGGGGGCACACGGGCCGTCGGTAACCCGCCCCCCATCCCGTCCCAGCACTACCGCTACGTCAACCGAACCGCCAAGTACACCGGGACGTACATCGCCAGCGAGGCGCCGCTGCTGCTCAGCCAGATCTCCCTGGTGGACCCCGAGGACCGGTAATGGTGGAGGGGGGTGAGGCAACCCCACCATGGCCACCACCCCCCCACACACTAAAACGCTCTCTGGTGGCAGGAAGCCAACGGAGGTAGAATGGCGATACACGGAGGAGGGCGAGCGGGTCCGCGTCTCCCTGCGCAGTGGCCGGATCATCCCCTTGCCCTTGCAGCAGCGCCGGGACGGCATCGTCCCTGAGCAGTGGATTGGTGAGTGGGGCTGGGGGGGGGGGGGGGGCTGGCGCCGGCCCCCGGGAGGACTGAGGGGCTCAGCACTGCCCCTTTGGCTGCATGCAGATGGCCCGAAGGACACGGCGGTGGAGGATGCGCTGGACAAGACGTACCTGCCGTCCCTGAAGACCTTTGAGGAGGAGATCATGGACGCCATGGGGATTGTGGAGACACGCAGGGCCAAGAAATCCTACTGGTATTAACTAGTGGGGGCTGGGGGAGAACCAGAAACATCCCTCCCTCTCCAGGGCCGTGGTCTGCAATAAAGACACCCCTTTATTTTCTCTATTTGTGGCACGTGGTGCTTTCGGCACAGCCCCCAACTCATGCCAAGCCCTGGGCCATACAAATCCCAGTTTTATTGTGGTTCACGCCTGGCACTGGGAGCCGGGGGGCTCTGCTTCTGTCCAGAGGGCTCTGCCACCCCCGTATCCTCATCCTCGCTGCTGTCCTCATCCAGGCCTGACAGCACTGCGCCCAGGGGTGTCCGTGCGGCCACCAGCACCAGGTTGCGTGGGGAGAACCGGGGATCGAAAAGGGGGACGAGAGCACACTGGAAACCTGCGGGGAGAGGGAGGGTCAGTACCGGCAGCGCCGTCACCCCCTCCCCATCGCCGTCCTGGCACCCACCTTGCTCCCGCAGGTAGAGCAAGCGGTCGAGGAGGATGAGGGTCTCCACCAGCGGTGCCAGTAGCAGGGTCAGGCTGAAGAAAGCCACCACCTTGTGCTGCTGTTCCAACATGGCCTCCACGGCCTCCGAGTCCAGCGAGATGGCGGCTGGATCCAGCCCCACACGGGGCAGCCCCAGGCGGGCGTACCTATGGGGTAACGTCACACTAAGGGCAAGGGGGGCGGGGGGGGGGGGGGGGGAAAGGGGGCCTCCCCACCCCAAACTCACTGGGGGAAGCTGAGGGTGTGCGCCTTCTTCACCGTCTGCACTCCTGGGCGCTTCTTGCTGGGGTTGGCCGCGCGGATGAGGGTCTCGAGGACGGCGCGGTAGCAGTGGGTGCGCAGGCAGCCACTCTCCCCCCTCAACCGCCCCACATATTCCTCCAACGCGTGGCAAGCGGCTTCCCGTGCCCGGTAGGAGAGTTCATGGCCCGGTAATTTGGCTACCCAAGCGCTCAGAGGGTAGCCAGGGGAAGAACTGGGGTGTTCTGGGGGGGTAGAGAGCTTCATGTAGCAGCAGGCCACCGAGGCGACAGCGGCCACGGCGGGGCTGCGGGTGAAGTGACGCAGCAGGGCTGGGCTGAGGTCCCCGCAGGCATGCAGCCCGGTCACCAGCACCCGCTGCCCCCCCTCGGACCCCCCCGGACCCCCCAGTGGGTTCCTGGTAGTGGGACCCGGCCCTGGGGGGTCAGGGGGCAACAGGAACTCCCCCCAAGGAGCACTGGGATCGAGGCGGCCAGCCACATGGCGCGGGCCCCGGGGGGTGAGGGGAGATGGAGGGCTGTGGCAGGGGGCGGTTTGGTGGCACCGGGGCAGCCCCTTGTTTCCTGGCACCCCCGTTTTCCCCAGCTCCCGCAGCAGCTCCTGGTCGAAGCGCTCCGCCATGCCGGCCAGGCGGCCGTCGCCCTCCACTGCCGTGACAGATAAGCCAAGGCCAAAGGCCAGGAAGCGTGAGAGGTGGCCCTGGGTGGGGGGGGACATGCGCTCAGCGGGGGGGGGGACACCGACACATCCCCCACCCCTCGGAGCCCCCCCATCAGCCCCTGCTCCTACCTGCCCCGCTCCGACGTCTACCACGCGGTCACAGCCGGTGGCCTGGGTCAGCCGCTGCAGCAGCTGCAGGTAGAGGAAGGTTTTGGGGGATGTTCGAGGAGGGGAGGGGTCACAGGGGGGTGCAGAGAGCGGGGGAGCACCCACCTTCCCCAGGCGCCGGATCTCATGCTGCTTTTTGGGCTTGACGTGGCGGCGGAGCAGGGGGTGCAGGCGGGTGCTCTGGCAGGGGGGGCGTGGGGACCCCCCTGGGCACCCGCGGGGGAAGGCGAGGGCACGGGTGGCAGCGGCAAAGGCCAGGAGGGAGAGGGGCCAGGCGGCCCCCGGCCCCCCCAGGCCCCCCAGGAGCCCAGCCAGCTGCAGGGGGGCGGCGGTGGCCAGGGCGGCCTGCCAGGGCGGGGGGAGCTGCGCCCACAGCCCCTCGGTGAAGAAGTCCTGTGGGGATGCGGGGGTCAGTGGT